TTGAGAAGAAGTGGCTACCGCTGAATTGCGTTAAAAAAACAGATTGATGGACAGCAGAATAACAAAGTGTGCCACCTCACTCACAACTCGTGTACTTGGTGAGGCGATAGAGCACAAACGAGTGCCGAGGCAATACTCAGACAGTGAACTGATGATGGATGCGACATGATGACTCACTGCACAGGAAAACTATGAAGCGAAAAATGCGTAGGACACAGAGACACGATATGTGAAGGAAGGCGAAAATGCGTTCATAAAATCAAAAAGAAACTGACAGTTTTAATTCGATCTTTAAAGGGCATTCTGATCTTTGATGAAATAATGCAGTTATGAAAATACATTTTGGCGTTGATCGTACCAAACTCAAGACGAGTGAACAAGCCTCACAGCTTTTGAGACCTTCTTTAATGTGAACGCAAAATATTTTGATGCAAACTGAAGAGTCAGAATTTTCAAACCACACCTCAGGGGTCGAGACTCAATTAACCAAACGTGTTGAGAAGAGATATTAAGGCGGTTACTGCAGAAACCTTGGTCTGTCAACTAATGTCAATTCAAATGCGACCTCACAATTACAGGGTGATGTCACGACCTATGCTAAAAACATTGCGCAATGCAGTCAATCGATAATGTGGGCTGAAACTCAGTAACTTGACGGACTTCCAACAACCACTCGCCTCGTATTTGGGGATGGGTTACAGAGTGCCATTTGAAATAACTTTTCTCGAAGATGCTGATCTGATCCTAGGCAGTGGAAACTGCAAATCCTGCAAAACCTGATCAAATTCTTCTCCTCATGACCCATTTTTCTGCCACAGGACATCAAACACACCACATTATTCGAGGAGTTCGAATATTACTACACAGCCATCGCTTGACGAAAGGCGAAGTATGGAGGGGCTGAATATCATTGAGCTCACTACCTGTGGACATTTGTGCAGCCTGGAATTGGTTACAAGGCCGGGTATATGGACGCAACAGCATCAGTGGGACAAGCTGTGACTAATCAACTAAATGCAATAATCTCCACAGCAGTACCCTCAATTGCAACGGGCCAATGTCGTAATCCATGTCAGTCATGCTTGTAGTGCACTGTTGGAGCTGACGAGAGTTAAGCCTGTCCACAAAATTATTGATATTAACAACTCATCCCTGTTTTATAATTGGCTACTGTTATCAGTCGATTATCATGCACTCGAGCTCACTCGGATGCAAAAATACACGCGCCTGGCTTGGAGCCAATAAAATACCTCTTGTCAGGTTATTAAGAAGTGCAAACCACAGGTTTATAAGGTGGTGCTATGTGGTATACTACAACTGGTGACCCGTCAAACGTAACCTCATTAATTTTGACTTCGCTGTTTGGTGATTCCCTTCGAAAATTTCGCGATTCTTTTCTGTTGCCGTACACTCAAGTTTGAATAACAGCATTTTTATCAGCTTTCCTCCGTACAATTCCAAAACCTCAGTTTGGTTAATGTAAACTGCGGCTCAATTTTGCAGCCTGAAGGTTACCTCTCAGTCCTCCCAGTATTCACAAGTCGTTGCTCCGCTACCAACAGACGTCGATACCTGATTGAAGCAATATCGCCTGAAAACCCCAATGACAGGTTGAAAGCTGCTGTTCTTACCCGAACGATAAGCTCGAACGAGGTCCGTCTTTGAAATCATTCTTCCGGTTTTGAACTAGGTTACAGTTCTCTTTCCTAACTTCTTCCACATGCGCCACCAGGCTAAGGATAACAAAGTCGATGACAGTTTTGCACCAGCTATGGGCTAAACGCCTTCACGCAAACACAAATGTCATAATTTCGATCCAGAAGTCAGATCCACAGTTAGAGAAACTTAACGAAATGGCCGATAAAATCGACGAGTGTTTCTACCAAGGACTGGGAAATGATGCCATATCCTTTAGTGCCACAGCTAGCACGAACAGTTTCTGCATTGGTAAGTTGCACGAGGAAGTGGATAAACTCTTACTGAAAATTGATGAACTTGCCCAAGGAAATCCCAGCAAACGGTCGAGAAATCCGCTATGCCGACGACGTTCTCCGCTAAGTTTTCGCCGATTAAGTCCATCTGGGGTGCAATCCATGTTGGTATCATCAACGCTATTGCAACAAGGCACGTGTTTGTAATTACCCGTGCAGGCACCTTCAGGCCTTCAAATCGTCCAGTGTACCTTCTGGAAACGAGATGGCCGGCCAGTTATGGCGATGACTGACTTAGGCACCCAATCTAGTCCCAGATCAACTAAGCATTTTGAAATTTTTGATCGAAGCTGATGCCGAAGTTAATGTAATTCCGCCAGGACCCGATAAACACCACCTCAAAGCCGTTGGTACATAACTTCAAGCCGTAAGCTCGTGGATTCAATTACCACCCTCTTTTCGGGGAAAAACTCTTTCAATAAACTCGATTTGATTCCATTTGGCATTTCCCGATCCTAATAATTATGAGCAACTCGTAGAGGAGTTTATCAAATTAGTCATTGTTGCCCAGATGCTCTACGGGCCTACTCACCAAGTCATGCACCATATCTTGATCAGAGGTCCTCCTACAACCGCTTAGGCCAGACGACTTGCACCTAATAAACTCGGTGCAGCTAAGTGCCAGCAAGTTTTTGCCCGTCGCAATTAACCTTCCAAAATATATTTTCGCAGTGGAAAGTGTTGAGTTTCTTGGATATCAGATTGACGCAGAGAGTGTAAGAACCCTGAGAAAACAGCAGCGATCAGGAAGTATCCCCGTAGCTTGCGTCGTTTTCTCAGTTTGGTAAATTACTATCTACGGTTTATTCTGCACGCCGCTGATATTCTGTCTCCAGTGATTGACTTGCTTCAAAACAATTTTAAGAATCTAACGTTTGCTAAGGAGACTGAAAGGGTAGTCTATACTCAATGTGAAAGAGCCATTCAAGAGAACGAGGAGAAGGTAGAGTAGGTCAATTGTGCGATACCTTGGGGTCATATTACTTTACAACGACGCTAATCTTACCACAGTTTATGTAAGTGTTGAAGTACGTCTACTATAAATTTCTTGACGTTATCACCGTATACTGTTTGCAACTAAATATTTTCCATTCCCAGAACTCTCGAAGATTATCTGAATGGTAAGTTCAAATGGTCGCACAAATATTAAGATGGCAAATGCATGAAGCGAAGTATAAAAGCGGAACAGAGCATACGCTACAAACTAATTTTTATTCAATTTTCAGAAGTGACATCGTAATGTTTTTTTTAACTAGTCACCTGGTCTAGTGATTCCGGAAAGTTTTCTTTTGACGGGTCGAACACTTAACATATTTTACAAAACTCTTCTCTTGTATGTTTAAAGAAGACTTCAGTTTTTAATTAAGAAATACGTTCTGAAGTACACGAATAGAGGATAATTATGTGGGAATTTGAGGAAAAGGCAAGCTTTTTCTGCAAAAATGGTCTTCTACACAAGTGGAACAATGGGGGTTACGGCGACGCCACATAGATTGCTGCCAAATTTGAAACGAAAATACCCGTTTTCGCCCCACCGATCCGAGAACGAATTCTGACCAATCCAGTACCTGTTTCCATTTTTGTCTCCTCCGTAGCCAATCAAAACGAGGCCATGATTAAGGAGTTCACCATTGCAATCTGCACCATCATAGATTCCAGATCTGTAATGCACAGAAAGATTGTTTTTCTAGACCTGATTACTAAGAACCCAAGCAGCTGCCTACGCAAACCTCGTATCGATTCGAACTCACTATCACGATTGCCAGTGACTAAATTGTCAATCGTCTTAGGTGCCGTCAAAATAGAGACCACTTAATAAGCTAACTATGGTAATAATCTCCGTATTTTCCTTACTTAGTCTTAGCACTTAGCTGGTTAGTCGATAAAGTATCACTCTGATTTTGGGAGTGAAGTTTCTCAATCGCATTTAAAAGAAGCATGTGACCGACAATGAAACCTAGAGGATTGTCAGCGAAGTGCGTGGTGGAGTGATATGCATTCGGTGTTGTGTTAGACCACCTTTTTAAATGTCCAAAATCTAGCCCGAAACACTGGAAGCTCATTTCCATATTAAAATCCATTAGGTTCCATTTTTTGTCAAATTGGTGACCCATTCTAACAGGTATGTAAATTTCTGTCAAGGCTTTCTGGGATTAAATGGACCTACTCTGCGAAATGACTGTTTGAATTGTTTGTTTATAGACAGTCGGTGACCAAGTGTTTGCACACGGATACAGACAGATGAACCATGGTGTGGTGAGTGTGCACGCCCCAATTTGTGTCATGTGACCTGATGTCACACTGGGCATTGGCATGCCGCATTCTGAAACACGAATGTGGTCTTGAACAGACGTGACCTTTAGCAGGGGAATATATAGCGATAACACACACCTTAATTTTATTGCAGCATAAGACAAACACTTCTATACAAAAAATATTTTGTGCGTTCCCTCGAAGAACCTGTTCCGCTATTCCCCTATCACTTTGACCAATACATTTAATGGGAACAAGGTAAAAGAAGATGAATGCTTTTTTTCTGAGTGGCAACATTGTGAGTATTCTGATCAATGGTCGTGATTAGTTAGTTGCATTTCCTCAGTTCAAAAAAAGGATCATGCAGTTATTAGGAGTCGAAAGCATGAGACCTTGGTAGTGATGAGATCATTCATCGAGTGATAATAACCGAGTTTCCACAAAAACAGAACAATTTTTGCATCACTTTTCCAGCTCTGAAGTCAGAATGAATTCAGAAGTGTGCTGCATTGATGTATTTTTTTGCCTATGCAAGAACTACATGAAATTTTAGAATTTGCAGATTTGATGCCTTGGACTTCTCCGTTCAAAGTTCCCCTATCTAGCCGTTTAATTATTGCTTCCAGACAGTGCAGATATTTAAGCGTTTTAAGCACCAATTTCTTCGTTATGTTCCGTACATATTTCCCGTAACTGAGATTTCTGACAAAATAAAATGGTAATTTTGAGCAATGCGAAGACATTAGATGTTCCGAGGTGTCAGGGATTTGTGATTTTGGCTAATTTTCAATTGGCCAAGGAAGTGATATTTTTGACCAAACCATTTGCGAATTTCCAACAGCCTGCAAAATCACGGCGGAAGGAAGCATCGTCTGTAAATAAGCCATAAATGCCGCAACACTGGTGCCCGGGACCACAGGCTCACGCTTGCCTCTCTCTCCTTCCTAAATGTCTGATTTGTATAAAGGTCACATGCCCTGAGGAAAAAATAAGTGCCCATGCAATTTGGTAGGTCGGGTTTAGTCTTGCAGTTATAATTACGAAAGAACTAAGTAATTCACTTGCAGCATAATACATTAGAGATGAAAAATGGTCTTGTAGAATCTCGGTCTATTCGTAAAAGCAACAATCTACTGCAGAAAATACTTTTGAAACAGGAGAAGTGACCTCAAGACGCTGTGCCCGGAAAAAAGGAAGTAAGAACCCCAAATATGGTCAGGATTGCTTATCTCTCTCTCTCTCGCTCTCTCACAGTGTGAGTCGCCTCTTTTAAAATAACTTCTTACGGTGATTTAAAAAGGCGGTGAGTCAGAAATATAAACCTACCTCCAGACTTTCAGCAAGCAGCAACGCGAGAAGTGACCGCAAATGACATTAAACAGCCAAAATGTGATTGGACAGTTTAAACAATGCGCGAGCTCGATGTGGAAGTGCTTCATGTAAATCCGAAAGTATACTGAGCGTGGATAATGATTCTGCTTTAAGGCTTCATCTGGGCTAAATGCAGTCAGGCATCTGAGCAGGATAAAAGGATTTCACTTATGGGTTGAGGCTGATGGTCGGTGAGCACATCACAGATAAGTAGACTCAATTGTCTTCAGTGATTCTACCAGTAATGCTTCAGCAATATGTCACTCATTTGCATCTAAGTACCAAAAACTCAACTTCACTCAGTTTCGCGAATGTTACTAAATTCCTGTGCATTATTAATCAGGTAAACCACTACAGATAAACCTCGACTTATTTCGTGCAGGCCATTTTGTGATTTTATGTAGTGCATTAAAATTTCTGACAGCATTTAATCTAAAAATCAAAATTATCAGTCTCATGAAGAGATAATTTAAATGCACGATAATATTTTCGTGCTACAAGGTTTATTGCCTTTCGTGCTACTAAGTGAAGACAAGTGTTTACCTGACTGAAATCATGATCCTGACTGGAGGATTTTAAATCGTGAACTTGTTACTAAGGCCTAATGGGTCTAATTTATCGGAACAATAACAAATTTTAGATGCAAAAACTGTTTAAAAAACGTGATTTAAAATTTTCAAAAAAATTATATTGACTGATGATAATGTGTGTATGTGCGTGTCATTACGAAATTAATAAACATAAATAAATAGTGCTTTCCAAACAACACTCAATGTCGTAAAAACTTAAAATTATGTTGTGCTAGAAGTGCACTTAGAGTATTAAATTAGTTAAAGCACGTCGTGCAGATAAAACTAAATAGATTTTGTAGAAATATCGTGTTAAAATTCGCCACTTATTCGTTAAGGCAACTAGCACAGTTACGCATGGTCATTTGTCATCCGATTGGTAAACTGCCCTAGCAAATTCGTATTTAATGCTATTATTATGGAACGTAATGTGTCCTCAGAAACAAGTTGGTGTTTAAATTGATTTTATGAAAATTAAAGTTGGAAATTGTTGTAAAAAAATTAATTTTTTACCGCCTATATCAATTTAGGGAGTTGTCAGGTATTATGAAGTAGCTAGATTCCACAGCATAAGTTTCTAATGTTGGATACCTTATGATGGACCCCATTTGAATTAGCTCAGTTACTCCTATACATTTTTTGCAAAATAAAGTTATATATATATCGCCTAAATGTAATAAGTTAACTGAACACGCATTTTTGTTTTTACCCAAAACCGTTCCGTCTGGGTCAATCAGGACCCGGGTTAGGAATGAGGAGTTCTAAAATAACAGACAGATTTTAAACAATTCACATACATAAGAACAGCGTTTCTAACTCACTTGTAGTGTTGAAGTCCAGCTCCACTTGCATCGAATCCAATTACAACAGGCCCCACTCGTTTCACGATACAGGCCAGAACGGACTCACTTACTCCAACAAGGGTGTCGTATCCACGAATCTTCAGAACAATTTTTTTCGGGTTTTCAGCACATTGGGTTACCTGGGAGTTGAGAGAGCATAAATTTTAACCAAAGTAGTTACTAGATTAATTGAACTTTTAAAGAACTGCTGGGTTAGTCACTGCATCTGAGATGTTGGATTTGAAAATCCCTCCCCTCAAGTGAAAAAAAACTGTTATTGTTATTGTGCCTTTTTCTTGCAACGTGAACAAAAAAATTTGACGCGCACAGGATCACAAAATAATCAGACGTAAGCAAATGTGTTCCACATCTCCCACTATTACATACAGTTTTAACAGCGGGACGGAGTACCAAGTGGAATGAATTGCGGATAAATACAATGCACCAAAAACTAGGAAATTGGAAGAATTTTGCTCTCTGAAATTTCGTTTCTACTATTTCAGTACATTCAACTAAGCTTAGACATTTTTTTAACAACAGTATTATTTTTAAGTCTACTTACCTGAAGTATGAACCAAATTAACAGGACATGCGAATTGTGTTGACATTTTGGGAAGTTTTTCACGACTAATGTTTACGGCCAAGTTATTGTGCTAGATTATCACATCTGATGGAAATGAAACTAAATTTTAGTAAAGATGTCTCTTTATAATTTTAAGTACCGCGAATTTCGCACAACTGTGAAACAACTTTTCGATCATCGATTTTGCCGTAGTAAATTATTTTTCATCCTAAAGTGACAGTAATGTTAATGCGAGGACTGCATGGTGCAGTTATAATTAAGGAAGTCAAAGTTTTAGAGGGTTTTAATGCAAGGATTCCAAATTTGATTTGAGAACAAACAATGTTCTATGAATCGCAATCTTACAAAAGTCAAATCTGCGCTCCTGTTTAATCAAGTGAGCCAATTGCAATTCTGTTGCATTAAGACACGTATGAACATGTCCCGTGATATTTATGTATGAATGATGGGTCGGGTACATTTAGCGCTTAAAATTCAATAAGCTGGCTGCAAAGGAGTTCGATTCGGAGCATAAAGCAATGTCGGATGTATCGGTGTGAAGGATTGTCACGTAGTTTAACCAATCGACATGCCCATGTGAAAGTTTCCTATTGTCATTGTCAACCTGTACACAGGTTCGACGTGGTGAATTCTGCTTAACCTCTCGCGTACAGACCTGTGTTCAATAGGTTTTATACACTTTTGACTCCTAGCCACATCATTGAAAACTATTCATCCATAATGTTGCTCTCAATTTCACTCCTGGTTGTATATATTTGAAATAAATGTTATTGATATTTGGAAGTAGTTGTGTTTTATCAAAGTACTTGTAGAGATATTTTTCGAATGGTTCATAATCGGCTCCAAAATCGGAAACGGGAAAGTGTAATATTTGGAAACTTTGGAATAATTTTTAATCTTCAAAATAACTTTACACCCAAAATACCTAATCGATAATGCATAATTTTTGTTTATGTAAGTTATTTTCTGAGGGCTAGTAGATTACCCCGTTCTAGTTTTATTTCTTACGCTACGTACCCTAAAGGCCTTTTCTTGGTTTTATATTAAACAATAAGTGCCTTAGATCGGCGAGAGTTGTAAAGGATAAAAATTAGCGCAGACGCAACTTTTTATCGTATGGTCTAAGCCAGTTGCCAATGGATGGTGAGGAAAAAATTTTCGACCACACGTGATTCTAAAAAAATGAGTGTCGACAGAAAATCAGCGTTTTTGAAATAGTTCATGTGGTTTCCACAACGACGACATTTTTAAAGGATACTAGTAAGGTTTTTTTAATTCTTCATTAATTAAAAGCACAAAGAAAAAATTCCAAAGTCAGTGATTAAAATGTGGGTTTTGCCAGTGAAAAAATCTTGATTACTTTTAAATATCGTCAGCTCATGTCAGAATACCAAGCAGTTTACCACAATTAAATCATTATTTTAAAATTCATGTCACACAGAATTCGCAAGCCTCCAAAATGTTGCAGAAGGTTCCACCGAATTTAATTTTATACTGGCGCCCAACCATTTCGATTTATATCTAAAAAGTCAGAAGATTAGATGCATACCTTGTACTATTCCTTCTAGTGTTGACTGAGGTAAAGGTTTGCTCATTAGTGGAATCAAATTAGTTTTCATGCCCTGCAAGTCTCCTTGAACCGTCAATTACAGTAGAATTTGCCTGTCAGCGGTTTTTTGGCTACTAGCCATGGTTTTATAGAAAATTTTACGAGAATCTTTGACTTAATTGGTAGAGACATTTGTGATGCCTACGGTGCTTCACTGTCTTTAAAATCCACTACTACTATGGAGAATTAACAAACTCACCCTCGTAATTTGATAAACCGTTGGCTTCAAAAAAACCTCAATCAGAGCTGTCAAATTGTTAACTGATTTTCTAAAGTAGGTTTAGAACTGTGGATAGTTTTAAGTCGTGAATTATGCGTTAACTCTAAACATTACCCAAATAGGCTACCACTTTTGTAAGCATTTCCAAAGAAATTGCTTTGGGCTGCACGTCGATGACATAGTTAGCTTCTTGAGAGTGAGTGCTGTTTGGGGCTTTAAATCCAACAAACCAAAAGCTGATATTTTATGAAGTGAATATTTTTGTGAAGTGGTCGTTGTACTTTTTTTGGAGCACGCAAACACAAAATATCGTGAGCGCAATGCAACATGGTCGCTTAAAATAAATCACGTTGTAGGTTTTATTAATCTCTGAAAGTGCACAAGTTTTTATGACTAATTCCTGTCTTTCTTATTAAGTTTCCATCGTTTACCAGGAATAAGTGATTACTGAATTCAGCTCACACTTGTTACTAATGACGAGATGCATAAATGCAACAGAAATTGGTTATATTTTGAGTTCATTGGCCTCTTAGCAGAATTATCCGCATGGATTTCTTGGCTGTTCAAAAGAATGCTTGCGTGAGAAAATAAGGCTTTTGAGGAAACAATGTGCTAGATTAATCATGCAATTTGGCATTGATGCGCATGAAATCCTTAGCATTCTTTTCACCAAGTACAGTCCCAACCTATTATTTACGGTCTCCCATAAATAAAGTTACTGCAAACCAGACAAATAACTGTGCAAATTTATACTGTAATATTTTATGCCAAGTCACTAAAGCAACAAGAGCACCTCTTCCTCCAGGCTACCAATTCGGGAGTGGATCGCGACTGGCGAGGTATTTAACTAGCTGACTACAGAGCGGATGATTTCCTTTACTACCTTAATTGTCTTCGCACTTCCCACTAGGCAATTCAAAATTGCGGTTACTATTTGAGTTAATGTATGGAAACAAATCAACTGATTTAGGTAAAATAAGTGAAAAAAATTAATGACGAATCTACAGGTCATATTGAAACCTAGACTGAATTTCGGAGGTCTTTAATGGATCATTATTTTAGAAGGTGCCAAACTTCATTTAAAAACCTCAAGTAGACATGAGTAAAATTTAGCCTCGCTTTGAATTATGCTCTACAGAGACATCAGTTCAATATAATCTCTGGATAGAAATGTCAGCTTACATGTGAAAATAAGGAACTACATAATCACAAGTTAGCCAAATAGAAAGGATTTCTACCACAAAAGAGGAACGTCAGCTCCAGAAATATACCGTCCATTTATATATCAGTACTGAGAACAGCAATAAATTTATGCTTACCCTTGACCGATAGCGATAGTCATCTTCCAGCATAATGCCACGTTCTTTAATGTAAGCAAAAGCATTTTCGATAATCCCTCCGTTACACCCGAAGTTCGTGTAAACGCAGTCGACAAGCTGCTGTTTGGACAGAGAGAAGTTGGATTTGTGATGGATGATCCAGTGCCATTCAACCGCCGACACGGAGGCAAACGCCCAACAGGACCCACACGTTCTCTAAAAACGTTTAAACCAGCAATCAAATCTTGTCCAGGATTACGCCCCTCAGTCACCGAGAAAGGTTACTGTGGGTAACTGCTTGACCTCTCCCCCTAATGACGTGTTTTGCAAAACAGTTAACCTTGTTTTAATCTCGACGTGGACATACACTTCCGACTTACAATGCACATTCCTACTTACTAGAAGAGGTATTGCAGGTGTTGAAAGAGCTTAGTGATAATTAGTTTTTTCTTATAAGCTACATTTTAAATGTATTTGGTAGGTTTCATGATTATCCAGAAGTACAGTTTGCGATCACATTTGTTTCATGTCCGATAAATTAGCATTAAAAGCCAATGGAACGCAAGTGACCAGTTAAAGCAAATCGACACACAATATTTCATATACAATTTGCATTATGTTTGTGGGTTCAATAGCCGAAACCAAACCATACGCCTTATGTGGAGCCAAGTTATTTTTTAAATAGATAAAGACCATTTTATGCATCTTAAGCGAAATGGAGCCTTGGTAGAAAAAAGGACTTACTGTATAAAAAGTACTTCATAACAGTTGAAATATCTTTGATAGACTAATGCGTAGTCGTAAATGAGCATCCAAACTCATAAGAATTTTTAGAAAACAAACTATGAGGGCAAAAATCGCACACAACTATAAGCTTTCCATGTGGTATTGTTCATTGGGCGGTCTAAATGTTAAAATAATGTTAATGACAGGTCGTAGATTTGTAAATAATTAAAATAAACTGAAAGGACGAAGTCTTTCTTTTCACCTACCTGTAAATGGTCAATTAGGTTTCAATCTTAATTAGAAAAAATTCCTGTTACTGTCCACTTTCTGGACAATACCAAGGAAATTTATGCAAACTAACAATTTCCAACTTCACCTATCTGCTTTCTGCTAAGTGGCTTGTTTGCTTGCTCGCATAAATAATATAAAGTGTTAGCAGTTTCAGTGCTCCAGAACTTTACCTCTATTTAGGGAAGAAAGTTGATGCAGGCATGATTTTTAAGATTTCCGGTGTCAAGACAGTTCAAATCGCAACAGTCCATCTGCATTCAGATTTTGGTATAGTGTAAATTTGCAAAAAAAATTCGTACTGATAAGGACAGACAAAGGTCCGTCAAAAGACTGTAATGTGGCAAAAGACTACCGGTGTTCACAATTCCACGAGCAGCCTTACCTGGTCCCCAACTCTGCGTCCTGGGTAGATATTTCGCCAATCAAAGTCCTCCAAGTAGCAGTCACCGTCAGTAAGGCTAGAGTTTGATTTAACTGTCTTATTTCCTTCAAAGTAACTGTTTAGATCGTAGTTGTCCAGTTCAATCTTCTTGCTTCTTAAATACATTTCTACAAACTCCCAGTGTTCCAGGTGCGTGAAGTGGTTCGTTCCCATGGTGTAGAGGACACCCTTTCGAGAGTTATGAGCCTGAATCATGTCGAAGTGTTTACGCCACACAGAAAACCGATAGTTTGCTTCTGACTCAGTTTCAAAAGAGACATTGAACTTTTTTTTCCATTTAATCCACTCAACATCCGAAGAGGGTGCTGCTGTGGGGGGGCATGTGTCTCTGCACGAGGACTTGATCCGCTCAAAAAGAGTTAGGATAATTGCAAGTAGAATCACGGAAATCACAAATGTAAGGAGAAGTAGACACAGGTGAAGCCATCGATGCATTGTGCCTACAGTAAATTTTGCTTATGGGCGGATACGAAAAACCCTTTAGGAAACCACTTACACAGCACCCAGCCAATCAGAAAAGGTCATTTTGGTCTGTGCATCAACATCCGTGCCCCGAAACTTGCGTTTCCGCGAATGTACTAGTTGATTTCTCCAGGCAAGGGGCAAAAATTTATCAAATGCTCGTTTGGCTTAGCTCATTAATTTGACACGAGTGACGTGCCTACTTGGGATACTATAATATTAATTAAGTGGGAAAGACTTTTCAAAGAACAAACATGAATTCACTGACGTTTACACCTCCAATAACCTAATTACTTCATTTCCCAAGATATAAGTAAATTTAAATGAGTGAACTTTAATTTTTTAATGTTCCGAGTCTCATCATCGATTCATTTAGTAGAAAATCACGATTTGTTTACAAAGGCAAGTTAAAGCAACGATCACGTGCAAAAACAAAATTTGAAATATGTCCTTGTATAATTTTCACTTTCGGAATTAACATAAGCGTAGCAACAGGTTATCATTTCATGGTCAATAAGGCATAAATTTAAATTACAGCTCTGCGAGTAAATTACAAATCCGTCTGCACACAGGTGAAAAAATAAAACGTTTATGTTTTTGTCAAACAACAAAACTTACCATACGACATAATAAATTTATTAATACTCACCTCGTCTCATGGCGATTAAGGGGCAAATACAGGTAATTTTTGCATCATAAAGTACATTTAGCAAAGTTTTAGTTCCACCCACTCTGTAATTAAAGAGTTTCTCTGGCAGGTGCTTTAAACTGGGCGAAAAACAGGCCAGATGCCTGACCTCAGCCCTCTAAGATTCACTTTGACCCTCTGGCGCTTTGACAGAGTGACCTTAGATGTCAGCATTACTACCTGCAACTGCCGTGGTCATCCCGAAAATCTGCCACAGTATGCTTAATTGTATAGAATTTACAAAAAACACCCCTAGAGTAGCACATTAAAACAAGCTATTTAGTTAAATTTGGAGCATTTTAAACAATGAAATCACAAATGGGCATTTTTACCGCGGATTTGACATCCATAAGAGTTACTTTCGTGGGACACTGTGTCAATAAGGCTTGGCTGACTTTATGCTTAAAAGCAGGCACAAAAGCAGGAAGCATGTTCATAAAACCGACAAAAGGCACTAAAGTATGTACACTTAGGTTTGGTAACAGTAAAGTGCCCTGGTTTTCCAAAGTAATAAAATTCATATTTTTTTCAAAGCATTATTTATTTTATTGACCAAATGAAAACTCCTATTTATCACGAGCTCAAGTTTTCAATAGGAAAATTTTTTTTTATTATCCTGAAACGACTGTACTCTAGGGGAAGTCAATGAGCTGTAAAAGGAGAGGTGTAAGACGGGATTGTCTGTGTTCTTAGAATCAGAGCGTCAACGGGTACGTATGCGTAGGCAGTGAAGCAAGTTAAGCAGAATTTAAATTAATGTTTTTTTTTTCTATTAAAACGGGCAGCAACAAACAGACATCACTTCTGCCGTTCACTATCAGAGGACTTTTTTGTAAACCGATGCTAATTTCGCAGAAAACGAAAACCATGAATCAATTTATAGCACAGACCTCTAATACCAATTTACTTGATTTGTGCGTTCTGTCTTTTCTTGTGGTGCTTTGATACGCCTTAGCACCCAAACAGCATTCTCATTAGTTTGCAAACTCTCAGATCGCAATGGGATGAGCTGCGCAAAAGTTTATGAACAAATTTTATATCACAAGTGATGGTCGTGCCACAGATGAATCAAGGTGCCGTAAGTGGCTGTGTTCTTAAGGACCTTTCGAATGTCAGTGCCTCGTGGAATAGCAAGTGCCAATTGACGAAAAGCACAAGTGGTTTGGCACCAGATACCCGTAACTGCGAAATGTATGAGCATTTGACAAATCGTGGACGGATTAAGTTTCTTGAAAGTCGACATAACAGAGCAGATCAAAGTAAGCGAAAGTAATTCGTTGCTTGATTGACTTTTAAAATTGTAAAAGGCGGTTGTTATACTACAGAGGAGTTATGAGACAAATGATATTCTTTTCTAACAAATGCTGGTTTCGAAGTTTTGTTAATATTATGCATGTGACTCCTCAACTAAATGCGATAAACGAGTCAGCCCTGCAACAAATCTCCACAACAGTGCTCCCTACTGCAACAGGACAATGTCGTGGTTCACCCTAGGTGGGCCGGCACAAGCCACAAAGAATACCGAGTTGCGATTAAAACAGTCATGCTGTCTATTCGAGGTGCGGAAATGTGTTATGCATCACTGTCCCCGTCGTAGAATGGTCACATTCCAATCAAAGTCATCATTCTGCTTGGATCGATAAGTAACTATGTGACAGGTTATAAATCACTAAAATTTAGCATGCGCGGACCAATGGAATTTTCCTTTTCTCTCTTAGGCGGATAAGGAATCCCGATAGTTGAATTCCGCGTCAATCACCTTTTCCGATATGCATCTCAGGTGTTTTGAACCAGTCCTATTTTTAAATGAATCATCGATAACAATAAACAATGGGCTGGTTCTAATTATCACAATCCAATACGGCCACGTTCAAACACGATAAACCCCCACATACTGCCTTGCCTCTCAAAATCTGACCTGCAAGTGGAAAGATCAAGCTGCTGATTTGGAGATCGTTGCATTCACCGTGTGGTCTTGACCCCGGACCACCGGATTAAAATAGATGTCGAAGATTACAAAGCTCTGGCTGATAAGGGCGGCATTGCATGTGGTTTGGTTTTTGTTACTAGTGTCCATTGCTGAACAGGTATGCTCCAATTTGATTTGTTTTCGTCAATCATCCTTGGACTTCACTGATTTCTGTTCACGAGGAGTCTGCAAACACACTGGCTGTTTCTGGCATCGTCTTTTTTCTAATTTGTTCGTGAGCGATACGGTTATTAAACTAGGTTTGTAAAGCAGCATAAAACCAAAACAATCCAATCAAATAGTGGACTTATTCAAAGAGCTTGAATTTTTGGTTAGAATTACCATTTTTTGCATTTTTTCTTTGCCATGGGTATTAGCTCAGTACCGAATTGAATGTAAATGCCGAAAAGATAAAACGATCCACCAAATGTTTATTGCATACTAAATTCTATGTTCGAAAGGAATACTAAACCTGCTATCTACAGGTTCAGTTAGGTCATCAACTAGTATTCCACAAACGCGTCATTATCCACTGTGTTTTGTATTCTTGGTTTACAGTGTTTGTAATTTGCTGCAGGTTAGAAACGCCAACAGTAATCCTGTTTCAATAAAATAAATAAGTTGGGAACCGGATACTAAACATCTGTGACACGAGTCGTCAAAACATTGGCAAACAAAAACGAATAAACGTGCGCATCCACCATGACGTGGACTCAGGGTACCTGTGTTGCAGTCATCGAGATCCGCGACACTAGTGCGTGTTCCTGGAAAGAATTCCCCCGTGGTGACGTTCACGCAGAAACAGTCGAGCGCACTACACTGTCGAGCCATATAAAGATCTGGTCTATCCTCACGACACGTGGGCAGATTGTCAACGGAGAAAGCAAGTCGTGTTGGAAGTGGACGATTGTCAGCGTGTGTGTTTTCTTCCCTTCCCACGAAATCGGAGGCCTGTGGTGGGAGGCTAAGGAAATCCTGGCGACTCTTTAGGGTCAGTAGCCGACGCGTTTTGGCGCAGCCAACTACAAAAAAAGTTGCATTGGTTAGACGACTGGACGTACAAACTTTATACCATTCTCATTTTCGATACAGAGGTTCAAAATTTCCAAAATAATAAGCAACTACAACACTAATCACCTCGTTTTACAATTTTGTTCGAATACACCAAATTTGAATGAGGGGTATTTAACGATGAATTATAATGAAAACACAAATTACGAACACTTTGTAAGAATTGTTTGAATAAATGAATTGATATAAACATATTTGTTTGTGAAAATTAAAAAAATAATGGCAATAGAAATCAGAAAAAATTTGACTACTGTAACGCTGGGTACAACATTCGAAAAGCCGGTGTTACGGTGAAGCATTGCACTCCACTAATAACGTCAAACCAGCAGCACAAAAGAATGTCATAAATGTCATGGTCAATTTACATTAGCGAAGGGATTAGATGTTGCAAATTTATGTTCTTCGTGGAGATTTCCACAAAACAAACTAGTCAGTTTCGTTCTATGTGATATTTGGGAAATGCTTCGTTTTGGACAATGTGAAGCCCAAGATATATTAGTAGCTCGTAGGCAGTTAGAAGTCAATGTAACTTCCCTAAGTACGGTCAGGTTGATTTAGCATCGGACCACAGGGAGCAAGTTTTCAATGCTGACATCAAAACACCAAAAATGGAAATCCAGTCACACAATCCAACAAACCTGGTACAAGGCTAAAAAGCCAAGAAGGCTCCAAGCTCTTTTCCATAAAATTAAATCACTTGTCAAATAATATAATAGATCACAAGTTTATTTAAAAGGGCCAGAGCAAAACTGAGACCTCTACGTCACCGGTGCAATCTATTAATGTGGCTATCAAGCCAAAAAACAGCTTTCATTTACGTTGTGAGTATCCTAGCAATTGCACGATTTCATGCGACATTTACAAGCTTACTAGTCGTTGTTTGAATAAACGATAGGCATCTATTGTTTTTTTTAAATCCCAGTAACAAATTATTGCAAGGACAGTAAATACTTCAAACAGGTTTCGCAGGCGCAATATCAGGACCGAGTAAATCCACAGAAAATCGAAACGTCCATCTTAAGAGATAATCAGACTTTGCCAAAAACTGCGACATTTAAGACCATGATAATGAGAAAAAAAAATCTATTTTTTTAATTACTAGCCCATGTCGTGGATTTGAATTTGAATAAACTAATGGGATTTCGCATCAAATTGGGAAAATCCTTCAGAACCGATTGTCCAATATTAGTTACTTAGCAAAAACAATAAATGGTAGACATGATAAAAATTGGTTGAACTAAATTTTCAAATATACAACTTTAGGTCTACTCTGATTTGAAGAAACCCAAAATAAAAAAGTCAACGCCCATGCTATTTAAATTCTGTTTGGAATAAATAAGCTACCTTGGAAAATTAAAAAAAACTAGGGTTTTGAACAATTTCTGAAGTCCTTACAAGATACAAGGTAACCGCCGCTAATTGCAAAACCGAGAATCATAAGGCATATGGGGGAATGATTTAAAATTCCTGACATGCCGCTACACATAGTTAAACGGTCGCTTCGTAAAGACTTTCTTGCTAAAAGCAACGTCAATTTCATGAAAAAAGAAATAAGTTTAAGTGGAATTAATCGGGTTGCACAAGAGATTCGGAACACGCAATTTCTGATTTTTCGTGAATGAATGGTAGTTCCGTTTAAACATCAAAGAAGCAGCCATTAAATTAATGAAAAAGCATGTTTGAATGCGTAATACCGCAAATTCGGCAACGCTTTCTTAAACTAAACTTAGTTCCAAAAAAATGTGTGAACATTTGGCGCGTTACAAACGATTTACGTTTGGCATTACATTCGCTGTTGAAATAGAATAAAACGGAGGACGTGATGAATTTGCACTTGAGATTTGGACACCTTATTTAGCGCACCAGTGTATCCCTGACAGGGTGAAGATGAAAAATAGAACCCATTAAAAATTAAGCTAATGTAGAAGCGGTTGAGGTCATCAGTTCGTGGAAGAACCGATGTAAGTCTCGAACCACACCAACTCCGAAGAGCTGCATCGACACGGCTTGACCAGGAAAGAGTAAAAAATCCAACAACACAGATGCACAACCGCTTTTTGCATCAGTAGAAGGGGAAGTCTTTTTCTGTCACAAGGAGTCAGGTTAAATAGGAATACATTACATTCAAATCACTACATGAGGTGCAAAAGTGTTCAAACAATACCAGCGTCCTGAAAAAAGAGACAGGGCAATCTAGCACATTTATGCAAAGTGTGTGAGGAAGGAGGCATGAGCAAGCGAAACTTATACAAAGAAGCCAAACTAACCTAAGGTTATCGCAGAGTATCCTAACGGAATTAATACCGATATCTAATCACGTGAATTGGAAACAATTGAGGAGAAGGACAATTACCAAAATACCTCTAAATGTGACCAAAAAAGCGATTGCTCAAGGTCGACAATTGCGCAGACACGCGCTACCGAGGGAATTACGACCAAAGAGGATGCACGGCTGTAGTTTAGTGTAGGGAATGCGATGTTTGACTAACAGTTAAATTGGCTAAAAATTACTACGTGAGCAATTAGAGAGATCATTTAATTGAGCCCGAGACGTTTCGCTCATGCTTGATATGAACATTCATCCTTTTAGTGTTATTTTGTTCATTTCGGGATGTCAACATTGTTTTATATTACAAAAAGTGTCTAGCATTTTTCGATAATATTTTACTGCTATTGTTTCAACTACGTTGTTATCAGAACAATCGGACCATCCACCAATGAACACCACTGATGGTCAGTTATCTGACTTCGACACGCATTTAAGGCAGAGAACTTGTGGATGTGGATATGGCAATAACGCAACAATGATATTTAGGCGGATATCTCTAGGGCAAAATCACTAAACAGTTTGAAGTGTGACAAAGAGCTGACTAAGTAAACACCAAAAAAGCCCCTTTTCAGATTATTTTGCAGGTAAAATCAAGAATGCACGATATAGCACTCCAATGGGAGCGTACATTTGTACAAAGAGAGATTATAGGTAGACTAGACTGGAAACGACAATCCGAAAAATTCGACAATCTCATGCATCATTAGCTATGGCGTGCAATATGGTAAGCATAATTGGCGGTAGTGAACAGCAAAATCTTTAATGTGTACACGTTAGATAAATATGTATGAAGAAACGATTTGCCGTATAGAAAACAAGTGAATCAAGAAAGTAGCATTGCAACAAAATTGAGCAATCTTTCATGAAGAGTAAAACTGCTTCATTTAAAGTACATGCGCCGACTTCTCAGAGTCATTTTGAAGCTTCAAAGAGCCAAACGGACGACAAAACGTTTTATTAACTTATCCTTGTCCATTTAAAAAGGCAACTTTCTTATCGGTTTTGCCTTATTCTGGTTTAATAATGGTTTTCGAAAAAAAAACAATGCTACCCAAATCGACAATTTTGCCAAAATATGGTGCGCGTTTTTAAGCACAATGAGCATCAGTAATGAACCTAAAATGCTGTAAACTGTTTTCCTTCTTAAACGTATAATTCTGAATTTGGTCAAGATCAATTTTCCCCAGATTGCATACAACGGAAATGCATAACTGGGGATAGGTATGACAAACCAAAGGATGCCAGCTACCTCAACAAATTTGATGATAGCTAGAGTTAAGGTGTAACTAGGCAAAGCTCAAACTCAATTTCTTAGTGGATAACAATTTGATTCAAGTAAAGCTCACAAGTTTGCTTATAGTTTATATGGCTATTAAGATTTTGAAGATTTAATTTGATTAAGGCAGTATGATGGGCTAAGAAATGTACGTTTGACAAAATTTTGACTGTGAATTTTTTTTAAAATTTTAATCCAATGTAATGAAAGATTATAAAAGGAAATAAGCTAAGGCCATGAGATAAACTTCAGGATCCCGTTCATAGTAAATTGATTCAATATTTTAAACAAACGAAAACAAAATATTAAATCCCAAATGAAATTTAAAGAACGTTTCAGCCATTCACAAGTAAAGATTACTGACGTACTTTGCTGCAAGAGTTTTAGATCATAGGGCTGTTCCTCGACGAACTGCGTGTCGCCATTACACCGATGACAGAAGAAACAGGAAAGCTGAAGGAGGGATGTTAAAAAGTAGACAAACATACTAGAAACTTTTTTTGAATAATAAGTTGTAAGGCTTATACATAAAGATGTAAGAAATTTAAATATTTCGTTGTTGCTTAGCATTGGAAGCAATTTTAAAGATTTCCAAAAAACTTCGTGATTAATCAATGGGAGAAGGGACCTTGAGAATTTCATTCCATCAACTTCTTTTGACTTTACAAGCGACTAGAAAACTGAGTCCAAATACCTTTGTGAAATTATTAGTGTTAACGCAATTCAATTAAGTGAACAATCATAAAATTTTAACGGTAATAATTCGAATGTGAACTGTAACGTCTGAAGTGTAACCATGTTTAGAGAATCACAGTAGTGATTTGCCTTCCTATTGTAAACATAATCACCTATTTCAATATATTTTATTTGCACTGTCAATCCCGTATTTAAAAAAAAAACTAAGGATGACAAAAGTATCGTTACTTGCGAAAACTGATTTCACCACAACCGTCTTTGTTTGATAAAATCTTTGATCATCTGAAGACACAGTGATTTACCGTGTGCATAGTAACAAGACACCATATTATTTCCGCTATATTAAGACATAAATAATAATTTCTTATGGAATCCATCAACAATGCATTCACTTTCACTAAAGGCAGATCATAATTAAAAGAAAAAAAAATAACTACATTGTCAACGTCAGTCTTGTTTTATTCCCGTTACAGATAACAATGAAGAGTGTAATGTGGGCAGCAACAATTCCACAGGCACGACATCTTTAATAAAAAAGTTACGAGAATTAGGGGAGAGTAACAATTTCAAATTAGACAAAAAAGCCGCAATTTACGTTTTGCTTTGCCATTTATGCTACAATTCTGCTAGCAAAAATTGACAAAACAAAACAACAAGCTATGGGTAAAAATTACGGATACCGGAAGCCTGTTGATGAAAATACTGATTTTAACGTGCTAGAAATCGAACCAAGTTGTACTCAATAAACCATTGCAGTAAACGACTGACATACCAAAATTAGAGGAACGTAAAAAGATAAAAAAAGGAGATTCCGTAGCATCCGTTAAAATGGAAATAAAAATTACTAAGACTAGCCGCGACCTAAAAGGGAGATGCAGTTGATGTATTCAAACAAATCCAAAAAAATGACAGATTAATAAATTACCACATAAGGTTACAAAAATTGTTGTTTTTCAAAAGTTTACTGTTAAAAACCCAAAAATTTAAATTTTGTGTAACACGATGGTGAACTTCATCTGAAATGATTTCCAATTTCGTAATAATTTAGGAATCATCAGAGGTGAATGTGGACTCATCTGGCCAATAATCTATTAGATTGTCACTGGTTTTTAAGCACACGCATTAATCGTCGCCACCCAATTTTATTGTAAGATTAAGGAAAATATAGCAAAATTGTAAATGTAATGGAGTTTAAAACATTTTTTTGCAAATACCTTAGACAACATCATGCTTATGCATGAGATGCTTTCACGTACTATGCATACTGATCTGGTTAAGCAATAAACTAAATTTTCTGCATTCGGGGAAAATAATAAATATGCTTCACAATTTTTTTCGTATTTACCAGATTGCAACAATATTTAAACCGTAGTTCTGACTAATTTTCAACTTCTGTAGTTAAATGGTGGTCCCGAAAAACCTACTAGTATCGCACAAAATTCCCTAAACCTGTCTTAAACTGAATTAACTAAAATAAGTCTTAAGCAAATATTTCATCTAATTCACAGGTGGTATGAAATAAATGTAGTTATTATATCCACAGGTTTTGCATGGTATAAGCAATTCTTTACAACATTATAAATTTGCAGAACGTTTTGTTGATTTTTTTATACTCTAACTTATAGAGTTAATCCTAGTAAGTTTGCAATAACGTCATGAATTAGCAATTTTGTAAATATTTTTCATGTTTACGTTTTACAAATCTCTTTGTGATTTCTTGTGAATGTCTGAATGACATCAGGAAGCGTTTAAAAAACGAAGTGGACTTTTATGACAATAGTTATTATTTCGAACTAAATTTATTGTTTCTAGGTTTATTTAGAAGCTCCAATTTTGGGTCATTTTCTAAACTTGGACCTGTCTAGAGGTCTGTTGTAGTTATGAATTGAGACTTGTCACAGTGAACAGCCAACTTTAAGATTTATTGTTAATAATCTACAAATAAATAGCGTTACTTATTTTTAAGCTCCGACATTAACGGAAACATGTATTGGAAGAAAGTAAATAATAGACAGCTAGTATTATCTGGGTCCCGTACGTATTTTAAATCAACGTATATTTCCAATACAATGATGATTTGCATTTTGACTAGCGGTTTTATTTGAATGCAGGCGTAATTATGTATTATGTATGCATTATGTATTACCTTTTTAACTTTTTTATGCACATAAATATTACAAATTTAAATTATAGAGCCGAAAACTGAAGCACACAAAGTTTATCTTCTGCGTGATAAATTTGCAATTTTATTTAACAGCGAGTAATCTCGAATTCTTCAGAATATTTGGTAAAACAAGACATTTTTAATGGATTTGGTTTCAAAATGCCTCATTTGTCTTCTCAAAATTATAATGGTTCACTTTTTTGTCACCTCTAAGATTTTAGATTTCCATTAACGAGGGCTTGCAGCATTATATATAAGAGTTCCTACCATACAATGTTTTACTCGAATTGAAATGTATTGTGCCATTGGTGGATATTTAGTCTAGTATCTCCAACTGTTCATTTAGCCTCCTAGCCTTTTGTGATGGTCGCCCTAGCACCTTTGAATGAACTGCATATTGCAGTTTCTGCAGTGAGAAACTGCAATATGCAGAGTCACGCACACCAATTTAATTTTCACTACTTTAACATCATTATAATATTACATCAATTCTTAATCTACGTGATGCATTGCCGCGTCCTTTACTCAGAACGTGAGCAAATATGGGTTTTGTTGTGTCAGAAGTAAAAATTACGTTTATAGTTCTGGTCACAGTTCTTATTCTCAACGGAAACACTGTTCATTAATTTTTTCGTCTTGTAAAACCGACTGTAATCAAAAGCGTTGTCCAATGAAAATCGACTTTTTAAAGGCCAACATGAGTGCTTTATTGAATATGACTCACCACTCATTTATGCCTCACGTAGCATTGGGAATTTTCATTGAGTGTTCAATGCGGTTTTGGTAGATGCGTCTGTGGGAACTGAAACCTTAATTCTTGGGAGAAGTATGTGCAGAAGTGATGGCCAGTGTAATTGTGGGGTGGCAATGGTTGTCTATGTCTTAAATTTGTGGTTGTGCCAATTAATTATGTAATGTTTTATTTTTGTACATAGCAAAGTACGCCTCAACTTTTGTGAAAACTTTTGCTTGTTTAACTGAGCTATCTAAGATTGGTTTGACGTCTAGGGGGCAAATTTAAGAGGTGAAGGAAAATGTTAAAACTGGATAAAACATAAAACAAAAATGAAATGCCAGAAAATATTCTACGGGAGTTTTTGGTACAACATTTTAAGCATAAATAAGTGGTTTTATAAAATAGGTCCTAAATAAGTAACGATACAACTAAAGGATTTGAAAGATTTACCTAGTCACATTCAATGAGGAGTCAAATCATTAATGAATGAGAAATGCGTGCATGGCAACTTTAATTTAATAATGTCCGAATTTTTTGTCCACTACAAAAAACTTTTATTGTTTATGTAAGCCAAGTAAATCCAACTTAAGTATGGTGAAACCTGCTTTAGAAGTATTTGTAAGAGTACGCAGAATTTGAGCATATATATAGATCTTCCCCGGAACGATATTTAACAGGAAAGGTCGCCAAAAGGATGCTCGTACTAAATGGGTATGAACATATCCACGTATTGTGCCTTAGGTAGATTGTAAATGCGCTGCTTCCGTAAAGCGTGATTTGGTAACTCCTGAAGGCAGTTTCTTTTATGCTCAGCCGAAAACTATTTGTGGAATTTGGCAGAAACCGATCCTTGATTCATCAGCTGTTGCAGACGTCAATTGTTACTTAAGTTACTAGATTTATGCAGTGAAGCCTGCGAGTACTTAAATGCCAGAATTTACAATAATTTTCTGCATATAATTGGAAGCATTGTTCTTGCATACAAACGGAAACTGCTGTGGCCTAGCAAACTTTTGTTAATGTATCAGGTGTGCATATTGCAGCCACCCAAATTTTATAGAGCTTCCATACACATACATTGAATGAAGAAAATTAATTTAACCTTTTCAGAGATTCAACTGCTAAAGCAAATAAACTAGCTGAACATCTATCGGAAGTCCTTCAGTGGAAGCTTGCCACACCTGTATTTGTTTTAATTTGTCATCGGCTTCTAATTGGCTACAATTATTTTTACTTTCTCTGCGAGAGGCGTGTTAATGCGGAAATAACCTGCAAGGAAATGTTTTTTTTTTACCTAGTATGAGGCGTGGACATATTTTGCTTTAGAGTCCCATTTTTCGAATACACATCGATCAAACATCCCTCAATGTCGTGGTTCAGAAAACCCAAGAACACTTCGCCTAGTCCAATTCTGTGAAATCTGTTGAAATGTCCACTTTTCTCATCTACTGCCTTCGAAGTTGATACACAACTTTACGTTGCTTTTTCTGTTTACGCTTTTGTAATCCAGGACGTTGGCTGTCAAAACACCTATATTTGTGATTAAGGGATGTGTGAATTATGTGTTTAATTGTACCTCTCTGCGGATTTTGATAGCTGCAACTTCATATAAACATGCAAATTTACTTTAACTCTTCAGCTGAAATGGAGGTACTATGCTTATCACATACAATACTTCCGTGTTTTGCCACCATTGCCGAAATTATAGTTTTTTTTTCAACCCGATTCTTTGCCTTAAAATGTTTAATGGTTCATAAAATTAAACCACGATTTTAAAGAAAATTCTGAAGACCATTTGTGACTCTTCGCAGACACTACCAATTCTTTGCAAATGCTGAAGGACCCGAGGGATAGGCAAATGTAATCCGGAGCTAATAAATTTCCCTCGGG